AGTCCAACTCTAACAATGGTCGGTATGGTGACAGCACATAAAGCCCCCTGGCAAGCCAGCATCCCCTCTGTGCTTGGCTTTGCAAAGCCATAGAGTACTGGATGGTTCCTCAGAGTGTGTGAAAATTGTCCTGTGCCACTAAGCATGATCAGGCTGGGAGGACAGAGCAAGAGGATGAGTGTTGCCTGTAGTCCCAGGGCTGGGAGAGCTCCAAGTATCGCATTGGCTGTACAATGTCCTGCTTCGGCAGGAGAGCCTGAGCGAGAAGCCAATTGTCTATTGCTTAGGGCACTCCATGAGGAGGGAGACAGCACTTCCAGTCCCTGCTCAAAATCAGGCAGAGCAGTGGTTTGAATCAGGGTTTTCCACATCCCAGCTGCATGTGCCAGTCAATGATGCAATGAGTGCACATTGCTTTTATTTTCCTGGAGTCAGGATGCCCCTGTCTTAGATGCCACATTTCAGGAGAGGGTATACAGCTGAGAAACACAAGCAGCAGGTGCCTCCGTCCAGCCAATTGGTCAGGCACCCAACTACCTTGGAAGAGCTGGGTTTAAGAGATGTTAAAAGTTAACCCATTAATCAGTAAGCATATGCCTTACTGGTATGCTTACCAGCTAAGTGGAGCCTTCCCCTCATGCCAGCCCAACCAGAGGAGCTGCTGCAGGCTGGAGCTGTCCCCTCTGCCTTCAGCCAGTGGTATTTAACCAGTTAACTATTCTGGGTGGTTTTTATGTGCCTCGTTTAAGCTCTGCTCCATCTGCAGCATTTTCTATTGGTGGCTGCCCTTCATGGGAACTGTGGCCCGCCCATCGATCCAGCTGGATTTCAGCTAGCTCAAGTGACATTAGGAAAGGGCTGGCAGCGCCTCCCAAAAACAACTCCTACGGGGATCCTGGCAGTGTTCCCTGTAAGCTGAGTGCTTGGATGGCTACCCAGGAGCAATTCAAATGCAATCCAGCTGATTAGCAGAGTGCCCACAGCCAGAAGCATGTGTTTCTATTGGTGGTGCACATGCTGCCATGCCTGCCTGCACGTAATATTTACTCTGCACAGAGTGGGGAACATTGAACCCTGGCTAGGTGTAGTCCATCCTGCCAGATCTGCACTGCTGCGGTTACGCAGAGGAGCTCAGTGTAGGCTGGCTGGGATATGGCTGCTCTCTCAGCTTGCAATGGCAGTGCAGACATGGCTGTGCATCACTGGCTTCACAGAATCCGTGCTTTAGGCACCTGATTAACCCCGTGCAATGCAGGAGGAGCTTGTGTGGCTAGCTCAGGGCTGAGAGTTCTACCAGGGAGCAGAGCAGGTTGGCGCAGGGACACCTCTACCAGAATGACTCTGCCCTCAAGATGCCACTGCATCCCCAGGGCTTTCTGCAGATGGCCGAAGGGAAGCACCTTAGCACGTAAGGGTGCTCAGCAGCCAGCATACCCATTATGTAACTGCTAAATGATCAGACCCCAATGCTTTTGCTGTGCTCTGTGCCTTGGGGGTGAGGCACAGACACCTCCTGGGGTGGGGAGAGCAGGCTTAAGCTTGTCTTATCCCAGCACCTCATTAACATCACAGGCATGTCCTGTTACCAAAGGCAGCTCTCTCCAGGCCAGGGGCTGCCCTGTCTCAGTGAATGACTCTGTTGGATGGCAGAGCACTCCATGCAGGCTGCTAAAGCAAAGCAAGGAGCAGGCTTCTCAGTGATGGGCAGTCTGATGGGTCCAAGGAGCCAGAGACTCACCATCTGGAGCTAGCAGTACAGGGCCCGATCTGCTCCCCAAAGCCACTCAACTCCCATTGGCTTAAATGGAGTGGATTGGGCCACACGGAATCAGGCCATAAGGGAACATCTATGTAAAGTGCCTAGCTCATATGCTTGCACTAGCTGCAGCATGCGTCCTGGGTCTGGCGGGGTCCTGTGGCTAAGAAATGATTTCCCAAGTCAGAAAAACCTTGTTCTCGCACTCAGGGCTTAGCCCACTGATGCTCCACTGGGAAATGCTTGTGATTTAACACCATCACTCTGCCATAGCAACCTCTAGCCCCTCCCTTTGGGGTGGCCCATCCCATACCTACTCTCCCCTCTCTATGGTTGGTCGCTTAGAAGAGCCTTTTCCCAGCTGGCCTGTCAAGGGCTGGCCCTTTAAATAGGGCAAAGCCATGCAGCTGCAGCCCAAATGGAACGACTTTGTGCTGGTTGCTGCCTTTCTCTCCCTCTGAGATGGTGAGTCCCCTTAGCGATTGCTGTGTGTTTGCTGAAGTGGGGTGCTCTCACAGCTGCACTGTGCTATTGACAAAGCAGCTCACTCAAGTTGCCAAAATTTCTTCTAAGAGCCTTTCATTTTTCCTAAATACTTTTCCTTGCCTGAAAACCCACTGGGCCAAATGCAGCCTTGATATAATGCCACTGAGTCCCCACACACTGGAATTACACCCAGAATTACTTTAGGACACTACGACAAACCCAGAGCATCTGGCTACAATAGCTTGGTGGAGGGCACATATACATGAACCTGAGGCTGTGGCTACACTGTAGTCTTCTTTGTGCAAATGAAGCATGGCGTGGAATATTGCCATGCTTCATTTGCATAATTAATTAGCAGCCTCTTTTGCACAAGAGGCTTTTGTGCAAAAAAGAGCTGTGTAGCCGGCTCCTTTTTGTGCAAAACCCCCCTCTTGCGCAAGAGCTATTGGTCCTGAAAAAATGAGGAACAACGGCTCTTGCGCAAGAGGGGGTTTTTGCGCAAAAAAGCCGTCTACAAGCTCCTTTTTGCGCAGAAGCCTCTTGAGCAAAAGTGGCTGCTAATTAATTATGAAAATGAAGCACAGCGATATTTCACGCCACTCTTTATTTGCATACGTTTTTCCGGAAGAAGGCTCCAGTGTAGCCGTAGCCTGAGTGAATAGTTTTCTCTTTCCTGAGTCAACTGGCCAGGCATTGCTGCCATGGGATCAAGGCAGGCAGGCAAGCTCCTGGGGCCAATTAAAAGCGTGCCTGAATTCAGACCTGTTTGGGCCATTTTAATAGGCATCCCACTCAGCAAGAGCAGGGGCGGAGGCCAAGGACTGAGACTGAGGAGGTACAGAGAGACAGCTAAGGACTGGGAGTGTGGTAGAGGGCTGTGGAGGAACAGGAAGGATTGCTCAAGTACTAGGGAGGAGGTACTGGGAGGGATCATTTGAGGAAGTGGCCCAGGAAAAGGCCGCAAGACTGAAAGTGGAGGAAATGCTGCCAGTTGCTGCTGCCTTCAGGTCCCTAGGCCAGAATCCAGAGTAGTGGGTGGGCCTTCCAGTCCTTCCCACATCACTACAGAGCCTGCTCCTGAGATGGGGGACCTACAGAGGGATTTCACCCCAAACTATGAACTAGCTTATGATGAGAATGGCTCAAAAGGCTGTGACCTTTGCTTCTAGTAAAGGGCCCAAGGCTGTGGGGAAGGTCACAGCGAACCTCTGAGGCAAACACTAACTTCCAGGAAGCGCAAGATCCTTGGAACATGTCCAGAGCTTTGCCAAACACCCAATTTACACGCCCAAATCTTATAGCCTAAATGGATTGTTCCCTTCCACTACCATGAGCTGGCTAAAGAGAGACTAATAAGTTGGCTATGAAGATCATCTTGTCTTGTAACAACTACCCTAAAGCAAGTGAATAATTTATGCTCTGAAAAACTGACCTAGAAATTCAGCAGAATGTTTTTTTTTAGCACTTATCAAAGGTAATATGCAGCTAGCTTAGACTTAAAGAACTGTGTGTGATTCTTCTCCCGCTCCTGCCTTGATTCTGTTTGACTGGTACCAGCTGTTTGATGAGCGGACAATGTGTCTCAGCTCTGATGGCTGTCCAGAAAAATGGTGAGTGCTGCATGCAAAGAGCTGCAATGTTTTTCATGATGCCTTGGTGGAATATGCAAAGAGTGCTTTGCACAGCTGGGAAGAGGTGTGACACAGGGCCATCACCCTCCATTCAGCACAGACTTGATTAACTATAGACGTGAACAAAAGCAAATGGAAAGAGAAAACTAATCTGGATCCAAAAGGTCTGTGTATTGTGGGCTGATCTGGCCTCCGGGGATGGTCAGATCCTGATTCTGAACCTGTGGTGCCAGTTCAGATATTTCAGGGGAGGAGGAAGCAAACTCCAGCCCTTTTTCTCCCAAGAGAGCAAGCACTTCAGTCCTTCCCTCATTTATTCTCTGTTCTTGTTGGGCTATATAGCCTCTCTCCCCAATCCGCACAGCCTAGGAGTGGGTATCGCCGGCACCATCTTCTCCTGCACTGTGCTGTGTGGAAAGAGAATGCCAGTGTGCCTGTTTGCAGCACCATCTGCACAGTGGAGTGGCCAGGGCACCTTTGCTTAGTGCTGGTATAACTTCATGTGCCCGATCACATGAAACTGAGTCTGGCTGCCCCTCTGGCTGTATGCACCAAACTGTTCTGGCAGTAACCATACACATTAGAATGGAATTACTGCTTAAAACTGGTCAGGCCATGACACCCCCACCCCATCCCCTACTCCTTGACAGATGGAACTCAGTAATTGCAAAATACTTGGAGGGACGCTCACTCCATCCCCACAAAGCAGCCTACAGAACACTCCCCCAGATAGTCCTGTCTTCCTAAACAGGCAACTCCCATCACTTACCCACAGGGCCCATCAAAGAGGAAACAAACAGCTTAAGAATGTCAGCAGGATTTGCTCAGGCAGTCAACATAGCTGTTTGATTGGCACTTGCTGGCTCCCCCCCCTCCCACACCTTTATTAACTTACACCCAGCTGGTTCTAATCAGACTCTAAAGACCAGCCATGGCAGTCTGCATTGCCCAAATCATGCCTGGGAAGCAAAGATGGTTTCATGCGAGTGCTGCTATGCAGATATTCCTGCTAATTCAGTGCAAGGCCCAGGAGGGAGCATGTAGCAAAGCAATTAACCTGACAGCAACTGGGTACGTCTGTCCATTACTCTTCGTATGCCCCTTTTTTCCCCATCATCCCATAGTACCTTTTACACGCTGCAAGGGGAACAGAGTGCAGGGGGCTTGAGAATCCCTCCTGCCCAGTGTGGAAGACTGCGTTCAGTGCTTAATCCTGGACTCCATGTTCTGCTGCGGACATAGCTCTCTCTTCCCATAAGCAAACGTGCAATGTTGGGCAGCTTCGTGAGTCATACACCTGGGGACAAGGGCAAACGTGTGAAGTGATGTGGGATCCATTCCATTAAGCTGTCAAAAAAGGCTTCCATGGGCATGGCCTCTGCTTTAAGCATGTCTAATAGGAACAAAAGTGCAACTCAAGGCACACAGTGGATGGGGGCAGAGAGGGCCATATGTTTGTGTAAACTGAGGCAGGCATGAAATGTCCACAGCATGGGTTCCCAAACTGGGGGGGGTGTGAAGAAATTCCAGGGGGAGGGCGTGAGGCAACCCAGTCTCCCCCCCCCCAATCAAGTTTTGCTGCCCTGTTTAGTTCCTTTTTTTTGTTCAACAAGTTTTGCTGCTATGGGGGGGGGGCATGAGGGTTTTTCAAAAATCAAAAAGGGGAGCATGATGCCAAAAAGTTTGGGAACCACTGGGCTACGGTGTCTATAAAATCCCAAATTCACTGACCAGTCACGGTCACCACATTCTGGCTTCCTGACAGAAGGGCCAATAGCCACTTGCTGGCCCAAGAGTGTGGGGGGAGGGGAAGAGGGACAGCGCAGCATTTCAGGTGGAAGGGGCGGGGCAGAGGGCAGTCAGCCCTTAGCACACCCAGATCACAGTGCAGGTCTCAACCCCGTAGGCCTCGGAGCCCTGCAGAGTGGCACTCTTTTGGCATGTCAAAGCGACCTGGAGCTCCTGCCCACCACCACAGCTGTTGGGAGCTCTGGGCCATTTTGAAACTCCAAGCCCCTGTGCAATTGCGCCCTTTGTCCCTCCCTCCCCTTGGTGGGCCTGCTCCCGGATCATGTCCTGTTTCATTTCACCTTGTGACTTACAATCACAGAGCAGAGCCTCTGAATTCTAAGGGGACATGGAGGAAGGACTGGTTTTCATGAATCTAGTTCTATTATTTGTTGTAGTTTTCCAGAAGAGCCCTTTCCTCCCAAGTATTTAATAAACTACCTCGGGGGATAAGGGGCAGGGAGAATGGGCGGTTTCTGTTTGTGCATGTAGATTAGAGCAAACAGCTTGAGACAGTCCCTGGTGTCAGAAGGATGGATTCATAAACCATGAATCAATATTGCCACCTACCGATCTGTGAGAACCACAGCTCTGCTCGTGCCCCCATTGTCATCAGGCAGTGCCTTCAAAACAGCCCAAGAGCCAGGCACTGACATCAACCTACCAATTAGTGCCCTCCTAATTTCAGCAACATGAAACGCACAAAAGGAAAGTGTGTTGCACAGTTGGTGTTTTGCTTGGGAATGCTACTGTTGAAAGAGATCCTCACTGCAAGTCTGATAATTAAACAAATAATACTTCTGTGAATCTTGCCAATTAAATAAAGTTTTAAAGCTTTTCTTTAATGTGTAGCTAGTATCCCCCGTTTGCTGGTGAGGAAATTGAGATGCTGAAGTTAGCTGGCTCACTCCATGTTGCAGTGTCAGAGCTCAGAAAGTACCCATCAGGGTCCTAATTTTCAGCTCCCTGCTCAAAGTGCTAGTAACTCTAGTCCTCACTTGTGCTATGTGATAAGCAGCTAATTTTCAAACTCATTTCATTCAACCACTGCAGTATTTCAAGCTGCAGAATGTAACCCAGGGCCACATAACCTCAGTTGTATGCCTACATCAGGATCGCTAATGACGACCCATCAGAAGGCAAGAGCCCAGTTTGGCTGCAGGATTGAGGTTAATGTGGCAGGACAGGCCGTGAAGAGTTGGAGTAATTTGTGCAGGAATAAATACAGAACCCTAGGATACTGTTTTTGCTTGTCACTGCAATATTTTCAGGGGGATTCACAGGTAAGAGAAATCAAACAACTACCCATCAAACTGAGTTATTTGCTGTGGGCAGAAAGTGCCAATCCAAACCCCACTTGAAACATTAGGTTACTTTCAAATGTCTTGCATTCCCTATGGACACCTTCATGCCCCCAAGGGAGACAGCCAGTCTGTACCCTTGTTATACCTGTGTCCTCCCCCACTCCAAGATAAACTACTGTGCTGCAATCTGTCACTGTCACCATATTCTGGCTCCCAGATCTCACATCAGCTTTTTTGTTTCATATTGTGACATGCAAGCACCTGACTGTACCCATACAAAATTTCACAAGGTGGTTTTTTTGGTTTTTTTTTTAAGAAAACGTTTGACTTGGCCTTATGCAAGTTACTGGTACAGCTGCTTGTCAGAGCTGTTGCTGAGCCTGCTAAAAACCTAAACTCCTACAGGAGTCATGGGGCTTCCAAGCAGAATGAAAATTAGGTGGGACCTTATGCATTCTCAGCACTGAAAATGCACTGCATCAGAGCAACCCCCATCAAAGCTGCTCTGCGCTCATTCAGCCAACATTCATTCAGTTCGCTCCCTCTCTGGTTTCAGGGTGGAATATGCTGGGTGTACTGCTCCTCCAGCCAAATTCTAAGGTCTTGACTCAGGCAGCCCTCAGAATAAATCAGCTGGGAATGGTTCTGTATCATGGAGGGAGGAGTTCTCCAGGAGACTCACTTCCTCCCCACCAAAGGGAGGGCTGGAGAGAAGATAGTCATGCAGGAAGATGATGCTCGCAGTGGTCTAAAGCAATGGCCTTTCACTTGGGGATGCCTTGGTTTCCAGCTGAAAAGAGGCCTTCTCTGATTAGTCTAATCACTATGACCTTCTTCTCGGTGGGCTTTAGCTTACATCACAAAACCACCAGATGCTTGGGGATAAGCAGAAGTGATGGATCGGTACTGATCTGGCAAGGCTGATCCGGGCCAAAAGAGATTCTTTAGCAGAGTTGTGTGTGGGAAGCTTGTTGTGTCTGTTGGGGTCCTGTCTGGTTTAGCCAGCAACAATAGCAAGGCACTTTCCCAAGCACTAAAATCAATGCTAAGAAAGTCAGATACAAACAAGGCCGTTCCTGAACTGTGGACCAGCTGAGGAAGTGTCTAGGATTAGATGTGTCCCCTAAGATTTTTGGCACGAGACACACAATCCTCAGAAGGGTAGGTCAAAGCAAGCAGACCCCTTTATGTACTCAGGTTCATGTTGCCTCTGACAAGGAGAGAAGAGAACAGAAAATCAGGCGGTGCCAGCAGGGAAATGAGTCTGGCTGTGCTCACTTTTTTATTTTAACTTAATACTTAATCATTAAAGGTCAAATCCTAAGTTCTTACTCAGGTAAAACTCCTGCTCTCTTCATCAGGAGCTTGCCCTGAAAAAAGACCCTTTGGCTTTGTCCCATAGCTCCTTACCCTATAGTACAGAGCTGGATACTCACCTGGACAGGGAGTGGTTGCTCTGATGCTTCGCTACTTAGTAAGTTTATGTCAACATGGAAAAAAAGAAAATACTGGTTTAAATTCCTGCTCGTGGCTTAGTGGCTGAAAGGGAGAGAGGAAGGAAGCAATGGTGCTGCTATATGTTTGGTCTTCTCTGCAACATGCAATACAGCAAGGGAAGCCTACATAGTGGAATTACATGCTTTGCTGCTGTTCCATGTGCAGGTACAGCCTCTCTTCCCTGGACTCTGGACTGCTCTGCACCTGGCTAAGGGAGGGGCCCTACACAGGCCCCTTCATTCTCCCAAACCTGTGCAAGTTTTGTACTATGCCACCAAAGTCACAACAGGTCTTCCCTACCCCCGATATCTTGGGTGCAGATTTCACTCAAAGAGCATCAGGGAAATGAATTCTCTGGTCCAGCACAGGAAAAAGAGCCTCTCCCATTCACGGCTGTGCTGTTCGGCTTAGTTCTCTCCTGCGCATTCTGAGGAGCAAGCAATGTTTTTTTCACTCAAGTACATGCAGTCCCAGGGAACAGGGTACGTGGAGCCAAGCAGGTGTGAACTGGGCTCTGAGCCCCACCGACGGCGGCAGTGCAGGTTATTCCCCGGTGGATGGTCATGTATCCAGTTCTCGCCGCAGTTTGACAATTTCCAGTAGAAGTTTCTCTTTCTCCAGCAGGATCTTTTCCTTCTGCAGTTGCAAGGTCTCTTTCTGCAGCTCCAGGATATCAGTGTGCAGCCGGCTGTGCGTCTCCCAAAGCTCTTTGGTTGGCCCAACACAGCCCTTCTGGCTGGGCAGCGAATCGTCCGTCACAGATGTGCTTGCTGAACAAACCAAACAGCAACCCCCAACATGGTTAAAGTAAACAGAGTCAAGAGGATAGAGCAATGCAAAGTTCACCCCAGAAACCAATTTCCCACCCATCACTAACAGCAGGAGTCAACCTCCTCAAAATGAGGGTCATGCCCTAATTCTGCTAGGACCAGTGACCTAACAATGTTCTGCCCTGCATTCAGGAAAGCTCATCCAGGCTACTAAAAACAGTGCTATGGAGATGCCCTTTCTGATACAACCTCTCTCTCTCTCCCCCTCCCCCCTGCTTGCTATGTACCTCCCATCACCCACACTATGAGACATAGTGGTAGTTCTGATGTCCCAGAAGCACTAGTCATGACAACCATCAAATAGGAGTATTGCCTTTAGTCTCAACAGGGCTGTTCCTAGGGGATGTGGGATCTGGAGCAACCTCCCCACCTCTTCCTGCCCCCATTGCACTCCTTCCTCTGCTCCCTGGAGCTGCATTTCTTCAGAGGAGTAGATTGGGCTGGAGCACACCGCTTTACACCACAGCGGTGAGTGTGTGTGTGGGGTCTCACCCACCCCCCTACCCCCGCTGCAGCCCCACACCAGGCTCCCAGGTAATACACAGGCTGCCCTGGGCCCTGTGGGTCCCATCCATAGGATCGCTGGAGCGGCTGTCATGGAGCTCCCCCAAAGCGCAGGACCTGGGATAGCCGGACCAAACCATCCTATGGAGGGAATAGCTCTGGTGCCTTATGCTATAAACAAGCATTTAAAGCTGTACCAGCACCTTCCAACTAGGGATGCTAAATGGTAAGTTGGTAACCATGTAACTGCTGAAAATTTCATTGGTTAAACGGTTACATTCACCTGCAGCGCAGGATGGCAGCCAGCTTCCTGAGAGCCAACTTTGAAGCTGGCTCCCAGCAAATACCGGCGAGAGCTGACTGCTGCCCGACGCTGCTGCCACCGATTCTCTGGGAGCTGGACTGGAAGCTGTGTTGGTTAACCGTTTGGGTAACCAATAAGCTCATGCTATTCTCATGCTATAATGGCTATTCTCTTACATCCCTACTTACAACTAATTTCTCATAATGCTGCCAGTGAGCCAGGCCATGGCACAACCTCCCTTGCGATCCTGGGGAAGAGCAGCAGGCTTGTGTACACAGAATGCAACCCTGAGGCAAGAGCAGATGACAGGTCTTTCAAGCTGCGGGAGCACACAGAAGGCTGAGGGTGGGGCTGTTTTACTGGCAAAGGGATATCTGCAACTGTCCTTGCACAAGGGAGAAGCCCTCCTTTCACGAGTAGCCCCTTGTCAGTAAACATAGTGCCATGGGCAACAGGAAAGGTTGTGAACGCTGCTCGAGTCAGACCTTTTTCAACTTGTACTGAAGTTCTACGCGCAGCCCATTTAGCATACCAAATGGGCTGCACAGAACTTCAATGCAAGCAGAGCTGGGCTCAGGGAGCAAGTGATACTGCAACACCGATGTCAACTGCACGCTGGCATCTGGAAGGTACATGCTCACACAGGCAGCAGAGTGGTGTGAAGCATTACTCATTGGAGGATGAGCAGGAATACCAGACAGATCAACGCTATGATTCTGCATGTGATCAGAACTTGAGAGTAGTTCAACAACACTGAAAATGGACACAGGGAACTTCTCCTCTGCCGCAAACTAGATGTCCACTCTCCTAAAAACTTGAAAGCAAGGCGTCCCACCTCTCTGGATTTGACCTTTTCCAGCCAATCCACATTTTCTTTCTTGGTACAACAATAAGGAACCAAGATGGTTCTAAGTTGTTTATAACTCTGGGCACTGGAATGAAAATAGTATTGGTCACTTTACTACTACAGCTAGAGCTGGGAGAACAGGGCTGTATTTCTGTAGCAGCAACTTAACAGTGGTAATAAGAAAAATGCTCACTGACAAACTAGAGATACATCTTCAGAGCCACTCTCAGGGAAGACCAGTTGGCCCAAACTGCTTGGCAATGGGCTATGAGGAAAGCCAGCTTAGGGAAGGTCCATTCTTGGAAATTCTGGGCATCTGAAAATGTGTTATACATGGTACCTGGATAACAGCATGCTCCTCCCGTGGTAAGAATGATCAGGAAGGGGCGGTGCATATTAATGGCTCTCCATAAAAGAGTGCCATAGGCGGCTCTATTGCCTTGGTGAAACCAAGTACAAATCCTACTCAGGTCACACATGAAATGGGGCTGGTGCCTCTTCCCACCCACCCTGTGATCTGGCTGGCACTGATGGAAACCTGTACTCCAGACAGGAGCAAGGCAGTGACTGGTCAGGGCTGAGAGACACTGGCAGAGCTTGCAAGGCTCCTGCTTGTAACTTGGTGATACTGGTAAGTATCCAGAGTAGCTCTGCTAAATTGCATGTAGCATCTGCAGAGAGGCTGGTGGAATGGGAAGCAGGATTTGGCTCATTCTGCCAGGTTGCTGCCAGTAACTAACAGCCTTTGCCTTTCAAACACAAATTAAAATATTGAACTCTGCTGAGCAGGAGGAGCCTGGCACTGCATGGCCTGTCTCACCATTATCATCCAGTGCTGTGTGGATGCCTTCGGGGCTGGGGCTGTCAGTCCTGCTGCTGTGTGTGACTGGACTTGAGATGACGCCTAGGCAAGGCCATTCGAATACAGGGCTCAAAGGGCACTTAGTCTTATAGGCCAATGCAAAGTCTGGGGAGCAGTTCAGAGGCACTGGAGTCCTGGCAGGGGCAGGTCCTTCAGGTCCATAGCTCAGCGGTGAGATGGATCTGTGAATTGGCACAAGGTGTGTCTCAGCTACAGGAGCACAGATCAGTGTTGGATCCTTGCTGGGGGCCAGCAGTCTCTTTTCCATACACTCTTGAGATCCACCCAAGCACAAATCCTCTTTGCAGTCAGATTCCTCACTGGGCTGTGGATCCCTTGGTGCATGGAGGAGGCTCTCTCCTGGAGTGCCAGTCCCTGATGCCATTTCTCTGTCCGGGTCCAAAAGGACCTCTGTTTTGCAGAGCAGCTCGTTGCCCTGGCTCCGCTGAAGTCCGTCATTCTGGCCGTGAAAGAATAAATCCGAAGGAGTTTCACGGATCCTCTCCACAGTGCAGTTTGGTGCTGTGGTTCCAGCCAGGCTGCTAGATGGCTTTGTTCTGAGAGCAGGGCCCGGGAGCAATGGCTCTGCCAACTCTGGCCCTGTCTTATTGAAGAGAGCAAAGATGTTGTGGAAGAGCCTCTCCTGAGGCCGCTGCCTCAGCAAGGGGTGTTTCACTGTGGTCAGCTCCTTGCGGGCATCAACGACCATGTTATGCCATTTCTTGCGGATCTCATCAGGTGTGCGCTGCACGAGTGGGCTGAGGGAGTTGACGGCAGCTGTGATCTCTTCCCATGCTCGTTGACGATCCATTGTGTTCTTATAGCGCCCGCTCTTGGGGATCAGGATGTCCTTCCGTAGGCTGAATTCCTCAAGGATGAGGAACTTCTCCTCCTCGGAAAACTTGAGTCTTTTTGGCTTGGCTGTGGTCATGTTGCCCCTGTGATTCAATTAGTCACCATTATGGCACTATTTACCATGCGATCCCGCTTAACTGCACTGCATGGATATCTTCCCAGATACTCTGATTACTCTACCTACAAGAGGCTCCTACTGAGCCCAGGTGGGGAGAAGAGGACCAAAATTCACATTGGTGGAAAATGTATCATAGACCATGAAATCTGGTCTTTCTTTGTGCTTTTACCCTATACTATAGGGTACTATGGGGTAAAAGTATACAAAAATACAGTGTTTCTTTCTCAAACCGGGGGGGGGGCAAAAAGATGGTTGCAATCTGTTTGTATGGAGGGTGATGGTTTTGTCACACTTATTTCTGTGCAGCCTTCAGAGCTGGCCCAGCACCCAGTTCTGAAAGCACTGCTGCCACTAGAAGTAGCACAGAAGCAAGGATGGTGATGCCCTCCCCCAACATACACACAAAAGTCTTGCAACTTCCCCTTTTAGATTAGGCCCCCCAGTCTGAGGAACACTGACTGAAGGGCTCTACATGTATATATTTTGCCCTTTTACAATACATATTACTGCTTTGTTACGCCACCATGAGATTTAAGATTTAAATATCTGGAACTGTGAAATTCAAGATTTTTTAAAATGCCAAGACTATGAAATTTAGAACAATGGACTGCAAATTTGGTAGGGTCCTATCATAAGTCATCTCATCTGATTCATTTTGAAAATGAACCTTGATCCTGACTTGCCACAGTTATTGCAATATTCCAAGTCTGGGTTTTCTGGAAGCAATCAATTGGTTGAGCATGAAGTTTCAACCCTAAATACCCATCGGACCCTCTGGCACTTTTAAGTTCAGGTGATTTAAGCATGTAAAGATTACTGTATGAAGAGACTGCCTTAGCCACGGATCCAGCGGCTTGCCTCAATCCGTGGTGGCTGAACTTTACCTAATCAAGGGCCACACTAAAAAACTGCAGCAGCCTGAGAAGTGCACCTGGTCTGCATACCACTGAGCTGACGGCAGCCCCACTGGCGTTTAATGCCAAAGTGACAATGCTGAAGCTTGATCCAGTGAGGCCCATAAGGAAACTGTGTCTTACAGCACAAAATCCTTCCTATTGTTAGAACTACTGTTGTTAAGCACTCACCATATAGGATCTCACAGTGTTTTATGAAGGAGAGTTAACACCTTAAGTGGAGGAAACTGAGACAAAGGAAGGTGAAGCAATTGGTCTGTCACAGAGAAGACAAGGACTAGAACCCAGGACTTCTGACTTTCACTACTGTTTCCCATGGGAATACAGCCCACAGGGACTACAGCCTGCTGAGATCAAGAAAGGATAGCTCACAATGATATCAGCTGCCCCTGAAAGCCAGACCACTGTAAATACCCATTTAAAAGTTAACTGGTTAAATAATATAATTTTAATTGTTTAAGCAATTAAGGTGCAGAGCAGCTAGGGTCCCGTGACCAAGCAGGGGTCCTGCAGCCAGGTTCCAGGCTACTCCTCCGGCCCGACCGTACTGTGGGTGGGATTGCTGCTCCAGCCTGGCCCTCTGGTTAACCAGATACAAGGAAAACATGCTGGTAAGACTAATGCTTACTGGGAAACCAGTTAACCTTTTACTTCCCTAATATTGAAAAGTAGGGTTCTGCGCTGGAGAATTACAAGTTGCATCCAGCCAGTTCTGTAAGGCCTGCAGCTCTCTATTGTTCTGATTTGTAGGGTATGCTCCTTGGGGCAGGGACCGTGTGCACCCATGACAGCAAGACAGAAGGCCTCGAGGGCTGTGTCTAGATTGGCAAGTTTTTTCGCAAAATCAGCTGCTTTTGTGGAAAAACTTGCCAGCAGTCTACACTGGCCGCTTGAATTTCTGCAAGAACACTGACGATCTCATTTAAGAAATCAGTGCTTCTTGCGGAAATACTATGCTGCTCCCGTTCGGGCAAAAGTCCCTTTTGCGCAAAGTTTTTGCGCAAAAGGGCCAGTGTAGACAGCTGAGATTTGTTTTGCACAAAAAAGCCTCGATGGTGAAAATGGCGATCGGGGCTTTTTTGCGGAAAAGCGCATCTAGATTGGCCACGGACGCTTTTCCGCAAAAAGTGCTTTTGCGGAAAAGCGTCCTTGCCAATCGAGACGCGCTTTTCCGCAAATGCTTTTAACGGAAAACTTTTCTTTTAAAAGCATTTGCA